CCATGTATTGTAGACCAGCCTTTAGACAGCAATTTTTAATAATTAATAACTCGTTAACTATTGCGAAAATTGCAAAATGGTAGAGGATTTTTCGACTCAGACTAGTCCGCTCTATTCATAAATAGAGATGAGGCGGGTAACACCCTGTATATAAATCATAACATGAATGAAATATGGAGAATGATTTCAATTTTTTAGAGGTCAAGTTTTCATTTTATGTGCTAACTCCAACTAATTGACATCTTATCGACAAGGCAGAGTAATATAACTTAAAGGAAAGTCCCCCTATTATGCGATAGGATCCTAATGTGGGATAGCGGTGTTTCTGTTAAATGAAGGCATCACCTGGTTGATTTCACCATGAATTTATTGCCCGTAGAGCGAAATCTGTTTAGTGGAAAATTGATTGTTAGATCGTGTAATCGTTGCAAAAAAAGATTTGTGGTTGAAGTTGGATGTTGAAATCCTTTCGGATACACATATGTTCCCAAATAAAAAAATATTGGCTATACCAAGACGATTTCAGTCTGCAGCTTACGTCGAAAGGAAAGTCGGGGAAATAATTGGCGATTGTCATAAATCAACATTTTCGCAATACCCACAGTAATTGACCATTGTGAACTTCCGTTCGCAATAAAAGCGATCGGCGTAACGACCGCAAAACACAAAAGATTCAGAATACGAATCTTCTAGTGAAATTCTGATGAAGCAATGTATGCCGATACCCATCGTTCGACTTTCACCGTTGATCAGCACAAGCAGGAAATTCCCGAGTATCTCGATTCGCGTGCTTACTTAATCGCTAAATCGTTCGTATTCTCTGATAATCGCTGTTTGATTCGAGCGATTGATAATAGCTGTTCGAGCGAGTCGATCTTTAACCGATACGGCCGTAAAGATGTTGTTACGACGCTTTTTCTTATTTCGAGCGCAACAAAATTTCAGTGAAGCAAACAAAATGACTTACCCAGCAGCGCCTGGAAGAGTCTGCTCTTGAAGATGCGTATGACGCGCTCGATAGCTAATCGCAGCTGCTTGTCTTGTGGTCTCGTCAGCTTGGCATGGTAATCCTCCAGGAGCTCCAGAGCTCGATGAGCTTCTAGAAATAGAGAAAAGATAAACGGATAGATTAGAGGGAATCGGCGCAGGCCAGTTTCTGGTTAACGATATAAATATGATTTCGTCGCCATTCATCAAATTTGATCGACTGAACCGCGCGTTTTCATTTCACTGTCTATCGAACACTTCGCCATCGTTTCGTCATTAGCTATTTCCTTCATTATCGCAACACTGCTATTTGTATCGCTAATTGATTAACCATATTTGCGAAGCATTACAAATCCGATGTAATTGAATGTAATTTGATGCAATCCGTGCCTCCCTCCAAAGCCCTCGTTTTCACACGTTTCATTAATTAAACATCTGTCAGTGCGCATTAATTAGTAGAGTGTATATTATCGATATTACACTTTCCACGCGTCTAACTCCGGGCTTTTAAATTACGGTATAGCCAGAAATTTCCAATGTGAAATTCGGAGGGTCGCGACGCGCGAGCGATGATCCGAGAAATTGAAAATAGAGCCGGAGACCGCGTATGAAAGCGAGAGAAAATAAAAGTATTTATTTATTTATTTTGCACGGGCAAAGGGAATTAAAATAACGTGACAAATCATCGATTATTCGATTCCTCGGATAAGTAAATAAACATGCCCGTACGTACGAAGCGTTATCTAAGTGTTTTAAATATTTAAAAAACGTAGAAACAAATATGATGATGCCAGGACTCTCGCCAAGAGTTCATTACTCTTTGCGATTTCCTTAATTAAATGTGGCGTGGACTAATGTTTGCCGTTCGATCTACTAAATAAAAATTCTTTGACTCGATATTACTTATTTTCGACGTATAACATACGATATTGGAAGAGCAGCGGCATCGATATTGCACATGGTATACGAAAATTTCTCACAGCTATGCGCCATATATCTTTCCCACGCACGAAGATCGTATTCAACTTATTTTTGCCATTTTCCTTTTCCTGCTAGCCATCATAAACACCCCCTCCCCCCCCTCCTTCGCCGACGTGAGAGAGAATGAGAGTACGAAGCCATTTGGAGGGTGAAACGACTCGAGAATCTCGTGCAACGGTGAGTGCAAGTCAAGAACAAATAACGGCAATTGCATCAGTTTCATGGCAACGCCACCGATGCAACAGCTTCTTTGCTCTACTGGTCTCCACCCTCTTCTTCCTACGAATGTACTCTCATTGCGCACGATACGGCTAGAGGTCGTTGATATATGTACATTTGTATAGATGCCGAAAGTGACTGAAGATAATATAAATAATTTAATAAATTATTAATGTAACGAAATTATTAATGTAACGTACAGAAACTCTTTAAAAAAAAAACAACTTAAATATTGTTACAACTCAATCATCAATGCATCAATTACAAGCTTCATTTTTGTCATTACAAAAAAAATAAGATTCAAACTGCACGGATATTGGAGAAATATTCGACTTTCATTTATCAAATGCAAACTTTGCAGTGTCTGAATTATCCGTAATGTATGCAATTAACCGAGAATAAAGAAATTAATTAAAAAAATAGGTCAAGAAGAAATCAACGAAGACCTCGGAGAGAAAATATAGGGAGCGAAATCTCGGTAACGGAAAATCACTTCGAATAAATTTCCGAGGAACAATTGCAAATCCGCAGAAAAATACTAATGATCTCGACGTTTCTACAATTAGCATTATCATATCGCGACTTCGCCTGCGCACTTGTTGATTCGCGTTATCGTTCGTAAGAACCGCCGGGATTCCCGCAGGATGAATTTCACATCTATCGGATGACTCGGACCCCTTCTCGCTCGACGGAAAACGGATGTTCCGTCAACAAGAAAGATCGCAAACAGGCACATCCGGTCGGATGATAATGCGTCTTCGCTTTCTCACGATTTTCCACTTTGTTCCCATTTTACGATTTCACGATGAGAATATGATCAAATTCTGTCGACAGATGCTTCCTCGACATTACACATATCTCTGTCATAAAAGCAATGAGAGGGAGTGTGTGTGAGAGAGAGAGGGGGGGAGGGGGAGAAGCTGACCTTGTCTGACGATACAATACTTTGCTTCGCGCAATCTTATTAAGTCCTACAAAACTTACTGAAATTTTCCCCCGGAAAACTACAGCTTCAAATAATAATTCCGCTCGTGTTATATTTAACAGCAACAAGTAAACAAAAGAGGCCAATTTTTACGAGCGTAAAAGATGACAATGTAATATTTTTTAAAAATCAAAGATGTTACAGTAGCGTTGAAATATAAGAACGCTATCTTATATTTCGATTTTAACATCTTTGATTTTTTAAAAAATATTATATTGTCATCTTTTAAGTAAGCTCGTAAAAATTGGCCTCTTTTGTTTGCTTGTTTAACCTAAAATTTACTCAATTTGTTTGACAACGAAATACATTTTTCCCTTTTTTTCTAATGCGTGAGATATAAAATAATAATAGTAAATAAATAATAGTAATAAGATATGAAAGGAAATATCACACTTCACTCACGCGTCAGAGCAAAAGGCATATCGCCTACCAAAATTCACATCGTTCTCACTGAAAGAGTAATTGACACTTTTGTCTGTATTTAGTCTCAAATGAAAGAGGAAACGTTTGTACAGCAAACCGTTCGTTGTGGTTTAGAAATTTATAGTTACAGCAGCAAAATATTTGTAGCATGATTAGCTACGGCAGCGAAAATTTGTTTCCCCGCACAATTCGCAAAGCGCGCCTGTCACGAGGCGAAAAATATCCGCGCAACAAGATACGTCAATTTGTCCGTTTTATTTTAATAGAAGCTGTTTTTCACACATCTCAATATCCGCATTCACGAGCAAGTGAGAAAAGCGCGCGCCAAAAAAGTGGTATATAAAATCACTTGATGCTATGATCCGCGCGCAAAATGGAGAAAAACCGAAAGGCGGTACAGCTCGCGTTCAATTAGCGATATTACGGGAAAGTGCCATTGACGCATTGCTGCTGCGAAAAATTCATCGTTCCAATGAGAGACAGAGAAAAAAGGGAGAGCTTTCAAGCCTGGAACACGGGCAGCCAATTACACGAAAGATCGAGACACGCGTCCGGTCCCATCTGTGCGCGCTTCCGCGTGTGAGAGCAGCAGGTCCACAAGATGAAGCGCGGGGAGGCGGGAGAACGAGAAAGGAAGGGAAATTTCTCGGTCGCTAATAACACGGCAATGAGCACGTCATCCACCTTCACGAGTGCGACACTGAAACTATGCCAAGTATGACCGTTTATCCCGGCTTTATGGTTCATCCGGCTGCACGTCGCGCTTCATGAATTATAACGCCGTATCTCCCTTACGAGACGCGCGCTCGATGTTCGCGAGCACGACGCGAACGAACGAGGCTCGTCACGGGGTTGGTGAGGGGGCCATGTTCGCCAAGCCCCTTATGGTCCCCGCGGTCCCGGACTTGCGTCAAGAAAGGGATACGTTTCCTTCAACGTTCGTCGAGTCGATCCCGTCACATCGCACTTTTCAGGAAACGAGCGTGACACGACGTACAGTAAATGCAATTATTACATGTACGTAGAATACCAGGTTCTGCGAACTTTTTTCACAAGAAAATAACCAACGGAATTGTTAAATAAATTTAAGGCGAATAAGTGCAACAGGACCGATATGATTCTAATCTAATACGAATAATTGTAACATGCCGTTCTTGCGGCCCGAGCTGGTTCTTTGTAACGTGATAATAATATTAGAATTATTAAACGACACAGTAGAGCTAAAGACCGAATCAATGATGCGAGTGAAATAAACGAAACCTACTCTTATTCAGACGATATATTTGAAACCTTTAATATTTGCGCGGCCCACATGGAGGCCCAACTGATCGCGTGTGCACGTGAATTTTATATACGAGCCTATAATCGAGAATTATAGGCCGCGTATAATCTAGTTTACGTTTCTATTCAAAGCCCGATCTAAGGCAATGGGTGTCGGAAGGGCGATATACCGTTATTTTCGTCTTTCATTACGCGGGCCGCTGACATAGTTCGCACGCAATAATTAAAGGGAGCCCCTCTGCGTTCGTCTAATTAAAGCGCGGTAATTATTGAAGTGAATTACGAGCAGTCTCCTCCGTTTCGTAACGACGCAGGACAAGTCGACGGGGTCGCGATAATTATTTCGCTCGCAGCAGCCACGTAAAGGAGCAGACATTAGGAGGAAACATTGAATTTACACGTCATCTCGAAACTCAAGTACGGATCCCCAATGAGCGCGGGAATTTTTTTTTGTTTACAGAATTGACACGCACATATGTATGTAGGTCGACGCATTTACGTACGAACGTCAACAACTCTTCAACGCAATTTTATGCGGCAGTAAATTCAGAATTCATCATTCTGGCAGGAAAAACGAACTATCGACAAACTGTCGAGCAAGAGCGTGGGCTAGAAATCTCGGCTACATATAATGCACCTGATGCACACGTGTGTAGAATCCGCCGAGATCCCACAGACAATTTCGATCACGCTTATAATTTACACGATAACGTCGCGCTCGCGTAAACGCGAATCACAACTGGCCGTAGCATACGATTTCCTACACTGAAAAAAATTTCTGGTTGAATATGGACGAATCAGATAATTCCTTTAGGATTTACCAGAATTCCTTTAGGATCTACCAGAATTTCTGTAGGATTACAGGAATTCTGGTAAATCCTAAAGGAATTCTGGTAAATCCTAAAGGAATTATCTGTTTCGTCCATATTCAACCAGAAATTTTTTTCAGTGTATAAACGGCGTAATAAATAAAGTGTAAAAACAACGTCACTTACGGAAACTGATAAAAATTAACGTGTCGAATAAAATCGTAGTGCCGAACGAATGTACACGATACGCGCGAAAATTCTGTATCTCTTAAAAACAGCGACTGGACTTATTGTTAGTAATTTTGTTTTGCGCCTGAAGAGTTATTGCGTTCTACTTGCGTTCAACGATAAATGTTAAAATGTACAAAACATTCGCCGCGTCAATCAAGTATATGTAAATGGGAAAAGACGGTC